GCTCGCTGGGCCTGCTCAACCATGAGAGAGAATAAACACGACGGGGCTCCCCCTTCGTTTGGACTCTGAAACGGAGCCCGCAGCATCTGGAACCGAGACGGAGGCGGAAGCCTCTTGCCTCGGGCACGGGACGAGGCACTATCTAAATAGTTGCCATGCTGGATGGAACGAGATGCTAACCGAACTCGAAGCCAAATCCGAAAGGGTCAAAGTCGGCCCCCTCTTCGAGCTCGACCTCGACCCCCATCGCCTCCTCCCAGTCGGGGGGGGGGGGGGGGGGGGGGGGAGGAGGCGGGAGAGGGTCGAAGGTAAGAGGGGCGAGACGAGCGAGTTGGGCCTCCGAGAACCCTGCAGACCGATTGGGGAGGGGTCTCGTCACAGCTCGCTTCTCTAAAATTCGAACAATCGGCCGATGCATTAAAGTGGTCAAAGTAAAACGGCCCCTGGCTTTCTGAAATACAGAGGTCGGGAAGGGGCGTGACTCGGCGGCATCTGCGGCAAGCACATCCGCTTTTTTATTCAACTCCTATGCGAGCGGATGCACCGCGCCGCGGTAAACACCGTCCTCACCGTGGTGCGGGTAAACGTGCTCGATGTAGAACATCTCGGGCTTGGCGTCGATCGCGGTCTTGATCTGGGCCCAGATGTCGTTCCAGCTTCCTCCAGGCGGCTCACCTCCTTTTAGTAGATTGTTGAATTCTCGAACACATTGTTGATTGTCGCAGTAGATCCACCCAGGCTCCTCCGCGAAGCGTACAACGTGAATTAAGGCTCGGGCTTCAGCTCGTGCACTACTTTGTCCTGGTCCGCATAGCTTCGATGAATAGTTTAGGCGGTGGTGCGGCGCCACATATACAGCGCATCCAGCTCGAGCTAGCCACTGATGTTGGGGGAAACGGCAGGCGCCATCCGTAGCTACGGCCATCCACCGCTTGTTCTCGTCGTCGGTGATGTAGTTGACCATGTCCTCAGCGGGATCGTCATCCACTTGCTGCGGGGGTCGGTGTTGTGAGGGCTCAGGTAGGGCTGCGAGTTCGTTGTAAAGTTTGACCGTCTCCCCATCGATGTACGTGAGACCACAGTGACGTGTTGAAGGCGGCCACTGATCACGTTCTTGAACTTGTGAATGTTGAAGTAATGGTGCGCGTTCTTCTTGCCAGCACGGACATTCCCACAGGATGTGTTCGTGCGTTTCCTGTTCTCTGTCACAGAACCTGCACACCGCTGGAGGGTCTTCTGAAATTGAAGATATCTGCAATCTTTGTTGTGTGTGATCGCCGCCGGCTAGAAATACAGACAGTAGGCCGCGCTGCCACTTAGTAAGGCGGTGCCTGAGACTGCGCGTTCGCAAGAGCCAAGAATTTGAAACCATGTCGATGCCATACTTGTGCTTAGCCACGTATCCGAGGTCGTTTCGCGCAGTGGGCACCTTACGTTGAAACCACCGTCGTTGTGAGTCTCGGAGATGGTGCATGAAAAAATCACTGCCCCCCTCGAGCCACGAGATGGGGGTGCCCAGGTCGGCCATCAGGATGTCGAAAGCTGGCCAGCGCCAGTTGAGCTGGTTGAGCATCTTGACGAAAGTTCGCACTGGACCTGGGTAGGCGGCGTCTGCATCTTGTATATGATCACGAAGGTCACGCACGTAGTCACGCAGCTGCGGCACCCGCAGAGTCTGACGTCGTAGCGAAAGGGTGACTTCTCTCTGGCTGATCGTGATGGGGTCAAGGAGGTGACCCTTCAGCACGACGCTCAGCAAAATCCACAGGCGGGTCCACTGCCGTCCCTGAGGCATAATGGTCGCGAACATGGCGCGGTAGTAATCCCGCAGCTGTCGGTTGGATGGCGCACCGAGGTCGGATCCCACAGCAACCATGGATGCCGCCATCGTCCGCGCGATGTCGGCACGCTTGTGTAGAGGGAAGGGGGGCCGTTGAGCACGTTGAAGTCGTTGAGCTGCAGCAACGAAGTGGCGGTCCATGAGGCTGGTGTCATCACCTCCGCGAGTGACGATCTGGCTGCCCACGAGACGGAAGGCGCGCTTAACGGGCAGGTTGTGGCCACAGACCGCGGTGTTGGCGAGCACAGTGGTCAAGTCCTCGTCGGTGGTCCAGGCGACCAGCTTCCCAAGGTGTAGTTCCTGACCAGAAAGTTTATCAAATAGAAGCGATTCGCGAAGCGATTCACGAATCCCAGCCATGTCCCACACCGTTGAGTTGGAATCGTCGATATACGTTATGGAAAGAGATATCGGTATTACTCTGTGGTGTCTCGCCGCCCATACATACGTGAGCATCTTGATGTCATCAATGCTGAAAGCAGATCCTTGTAGGTGGCCATTCGTGGTGGCCATGGCGTCGCTGTAAGTTCCAGACATTCGCAGGTACCTCCGATGCTGGGCGTAAAATTGTTCACGAACTCGAAGCACACTCTCGGGGCACCCTGCATGTCGTTGTAGTTCGATGCATATACTGGTTATCAGCAGGTCGAAGCACTTATTCCTGTCGAGAGCGAGACCGTGGACCCAGTCCTCGGCGCGACGGGACCACTCGACCTGAAGGGCAAGACTGGTGGAAACATCCGAGAGACGAGCCCCCGACGTGGCCCAAAAACTCGCGGGGTGAGTCCACTTGCGCCTCCATGGGTTGAGCTTTCGGTAGATCGAGACTTCCCAGGCACAAAGCCAAACAGACAGAACGGAAAGAAGCCTTTGCTCTTCAGGAAAAATCCCCATCTCCCTTCCTCAAGGCGGGATTCGGAACGTGTTTGAAAGCCGAGGGGACCTGGCCCGAATTCCGCATCGATCGAAGAGCCTCGGCAAAGACTGCTTGGATGGCTGTGGGCAGAGTTTTGGCCTCCACCGTCGCCCATCCGTCAAGACCCCCCGCCTTGAGAGAGGAGCGTGCCTGGAGAAAAGCGCCGACATCAGCATCACTAAGTGAGGGCTCAGGACAGGGGCCCACAGGGGGCAGCTCAGCTTCGCATTCGGCACGGAAACCCCCCCAAGTGGGAACCTCTGAAGTCCCACGATATTTGCAGAGAATCGGCTCCCAAGTTAGCTGCATCAGCTTGATGATGTCGAGCGGGTTGGAGATGATGTCCTGGGTGTCGGGTTGTTTGAGGAAGGTAGTGGGTTGCTTAGCCTGCGCTTTTACCCCGGCACACACCTCTCGCCCCCCGCTTTGACAAGATGCTGAAATTCGTGTTCGCCATTGGTGCAGTCGCTGGCGTTGGGCTTCTGCGGCATACCGCTGTTGTTCAGCAAGTACCTGGGCAGCAGCGTGACGGGCTTGGTCTGCCGAGGGCCAGCAGAAAGGCGTCCACCATCCAGGCCAGGATGCACACACAGGTTGTAGAAGACGGACTTGATTGCAGCAGTTGGCCAAGAGCTGGTGGTAGAGCTGGATATCGATGTAGGACGTATACCCACGAGCTTCACAGCGTTCAGCACGACAACTTAGCTCAAGTAGTCGACGGTGGAGCTTGGTGCATTGCCACTCTGTGCGAGACATAGCCCCGTGCTGTGGGGAGATAGGTGGGGCAGCCCACCCTTGCACGAGACGAGGGGGATTGCCACGCCCTCTCGTGCCCTTCTTGACATGACTATCACAGCATATATCCAAGAAATCCTCCGCCATCTTGTTGGCAAGAGCGAACGTATCCTCTGCGTTGCCTTGCGCCAGTGCAAGCTGTTTGGCATGTTGGTTAACCAAGTGGGCGCCAAGTGCTTCACGTTCATCATGTGGCATACTGATGTGGTAGACGTCGTGGAGTTCTGGGCGTTCCCACCGTCGAACCCGCGCAGCAAAGGCATCCACGTTGAGAGTAACTTCGAGGCCGAGATGTCCAGGGCATTTGAATTCACGAACAATCTGAAAGTCGATGACCATAGCGTTGGCGCTATCATTCGCAAAGATATAGTCGATCCTAGAGGTGTGTTCGATGGGGTCGCGGCGCTTCCAGTTGGGGTCGCGGCCGTAGGTCATGGCGTCCTGATCGGGATATCCGTTCGAAACGTTGTTCCATCCGCCTTCCTGTAGTACCCAACTGAGGAACGCAGACTCGGCGACATCGCACTGGGCATCCATGGTGATGAAATAGGGGGCGGTCGTACCTCGTAGAGCAGCTGCTTGCCAAGCGTCCGCGAAAAGGTCCTCGTTTGATTATGTGGCGACTCCGTAGACGGCGGCGAGATAATACCCAGTGGTCAGCTTCCCTTTCTGATTGGGGGTGGGACCAAAGACCTCCTTCCAGCGCTTTGTCGCCAAAAGACGTTCTTGGACAGGGCGTTGGCAACCCGTAGGAACCACGGGTTCAGAAGTCGGGGCAACGATGGCAACGCCCCCATGCTCAGTGTGAGCTCCTTTGGTCACGCACTGGTGCTTGCCATTCTGCGCTGGAACCACACACGCGCCAGGGAAGAGAGGCGGGCCCCAGTGTGCTTTCCACCCGTGCCGATGGACATGCTTATCAAGGTCCGAAAGTTGATGAGGTGTGTGACGTACTTCTTGATGAGCTGCGACGGCGACGCCTCGATCGCCAAGAGCTGCGAGCAATTCCCAGTGTGCGCGCAGCGAGGTCACATCGAGTGAGACGAACTTGTGGTAGCCAGGCCCGTCACCCAGAGTTGAATCAGAGTATGCTCGCGCGCGATGAGTGTAGCAATGGTGCTGGGGCAAAGTCGCCAGAGCCCACATGGCGAAAAACCCGAAGTGTCGCTTGAGACGATGTGTTCGCATGAGGAGGTAGGATCGAGGCGGGGCCTCCCACGTGTTAGTCTCGGCCGTGTCGATGCCATGGCAGTCTCCCAGACTAGCAGTAGACATGGTCGAAGCTGTGGCACGATGCTACTTCCTGCAGCCATCCCACTCGCTGCAGTACCCCGAAGTTTGAGCGTGTAGATCACTATCAAGTAAATGTAATTGGTGCCCCCATTCACGTACTTCCCAACGAAAGGCGGGACTGACCTTCCTTGGGCACCTTCAGAGTTTGTCGTCGTCCTTGCTGCCCTTGCCGTCGTCGCTGGTGCGCGGCGTCTTCTTGCTGGGGGCATCGGCGTGTTTCTCCTGGAGATTCATTTTCTTGAGGATGGCAGCCAAACTTCTCTGAAGCTGGTCCTGGTTCAACTGGATGGTGCTGTTGGGTGCCACTTTCAAACCTCCTGCTCGCAGCAGGCGGCTGGGCTCGTCGTGGGACGGAATCTCGGGGCATATGGCCTGCATGGTAGACTTGATGACGTCGTGTAGCCCAGTGCCCATGGAGATCTTAGCATCGGACTTGCGGGCAGTCTCCCAACACTCGTTGGCTGTGCTGCCCAGCTTGTCCCTGCGCTGCCCACCGACAGCTACGGGGGCAGCGCCACTGTACTGACTGCTGAAGACCTCACTCATGGTGGGGTTGACGGGCAGCGTGTCGGCCTCGTGGGCGGTGGTGCACATGGAGGGCGCGTTGCCATCCGTTTTGTCGAGCTGCGTGACGTTGGTCTTCATGGTGACGTCGGCCTCGCCGAACTGGTAGATGACGCCGTTCAAAAGGGTCTTCCGCGGGTTGGAGGTGCCGTCAGGAACCTGGAGCACAGGGATCTGGATCTTCAAGTGGGCCCAGTTTGCGCTGCCCGTGCCGAAAGCCAGGATGGCAAGCGGCTCTTTCTGGCGCCGTAGCGCCGTGCACCACTTCTCCGCATCCTCCATGCTGTGGAGGGAGATGGAAGACTCATAGGTGTCGTCGGGCAACTTCTTGGAGGCCTGCGCAATGGTGGCGGACCAGTCTTGCTCGTCCAGGGCGATGGGCTGCGGCTCCACGGTCGCGTTGCCTTTACCCTTGCCCTTCGTGGTGTTCGTGGCTCCATCGGCCACAGCAGTGGCTGCCGAGGTGCGCCGCTGGTGCTCGTTGGTCCACGAGTTCTCGTTCTTTGTCAAGAGCTTCTGGATGGCTCTCGACTGCTTGTCCTCTTAGGTCTGGTCCAGCACCTGGTCCAGTCCCGTCTGATCCTTGTGGGTCAGCTCATTGTAGGCAGCGGTAGCACGATCGCCAGCGCCCTGTTGGGTGATTCCGACAACCTTCGTCTTGCGAGCGGGAGGCCCGCTGATCTTCGTTGCCTTCTTCGCCATCTCAAGAAACTGGATGGTCGCAAGCGGAGCGAGCAAAAGAAACAACCGATCTTCTGCAGTGAGGCTCACTGTCGGTGCCGCCAGGAGTACGAGAATCGGACTCGGAGGGCAGATCGGGAGGGCTGCGCGCACTCGCTCCCCAGCGAGTTCGAGCCCGAGTGGCACTGATGGTGATGGTGATGGTGATGGTGATGGTGATGGTGATGGTGATGGTGATGGTGATGGTGATGGTGATGGTGGTGGTGATGGTGATGGTGATGGTGATGGATGGTCATGGTGATGGTGATGATGATGGTGATGGATTGCCGGTGCGGTGCTGGTGTTGGTGATGGTGTTGGTGATGGTGATGTGATGGTGATGGTGATGGTGATGGTGATGGTGATGGTGATGGTGATGGTGATGGTGATGGTCATGGTGATGGATGATGGTGATGGTGGTGAAGGTGATGGGTGATATGGTGATGGTGATGGTGATGGTGATGGGATGGTGGGTGATGGCGATGGTGATGGTGATGGTGATGGTGATGGTGATGGTGATGGATGGTGATGGTGATGGTGATGGTGATGGTGATGGTGATGGTGATGGTGATGGTGATGGTGATGGTGATGGTGATGGTGATGGTGATGGTGATGGTGATGGTCATGGTGATGGTGATGGTGATGGTGATGGTGATGGTGATGGCGATGGTGATGGTGATGGTGGTGATGATAATGACCATAACACTGATGTTGGTGGCGATATTGACGGCGATGTCAATGGTGATGGTGGCGTTAATGGTGGTGATGGTGATACCAATGGCGATAAAAGTGGCACTGGCAACGGCAGCGGTAATGGTCATAGTGATGGAGCAAGGTGATGGTAAATGGCAATGGAAATGATACATGGTAATGGTAAGAAGTAGATGGTGACTGGTACATGGTAAATAGTGATGGTAATGGCAATGGCAATATTAGTGGTAATGGTACTGGTAATGGTAATGGTAATGGTGATGGTAAGGGTAATGGTAATGGTAATGGTAATGGTAATGGTAATTGAAATGGTAATGGTAATGGTCATGGTAATGGCAATGGCAATGGCAATGGCAATGGCAATGACACTGGCAATGGCAATGGCAATGGCAATGGCAATGGCAATGGCAATGGCAATGGCACTGGCACTGGCACTGGCAATGGCAATGGTAATGGTAATGGTAACGGTAATGGTAATGGTAATGGTACTGGCAATGGTAATGATAATGATAAGGATAACGATAATGATAATGATAATGATGATGGTAGTGGTAATGGTGCAATGGCAATGGTAATGGTAATGGCAACGGCAATGGCAATGGCAATGGTAATGGTAATGGTAATGGTAATGGTAATGGTAATGGTAATGGTAATGGTAATGGTAATGGTAATGGTAATGGTAATGGTAAATGGTAATGGTAATGGTAATGGTAATGGTAATGGTAATGGTAATGGTAATGGTAATGGTAATGGTAATGGTAATGGTAATGGTAATGGTAATGGTAATGGTAATGGTAATGGTAATGGTAATGGTAATGGTAATGGTAATGGTAATGGTAATGGTAATGGTAATGGTAATGGTAATGGTAACCTCCTCCTCCTCCCTCGGGAGGAGGGAGTAGGAGGAGCAAGAAGGAGCAGACGGAACGGGGACAGGAGCGGGAGCAGGAACGGGGGCGGGAGCCGAGGCAGATCCCCACAGCGAACGACGAGAAGAGCGACATGGTAGGCAGCGTGCGGCTGAGTCTCAGCTATGCCTCCTCCTGCTCCTGCTCCTCCTCCTGCTCCTCCTCATCATCATCCTCCTCCGCCTCCGCCTCCCCCTCCCCCTCCTCCTCCTCCTCCTCCTCCTCCTCCTCCTCCTCCTCCTCAGCCTCCTCCTTTTCCTACTCCTCGTCCTCCTCCTCCTCCTCCTCCTCCTCCTCCTCCTCCTCCCCCCCCTCTCCATCACCTCTCGCCTCCTCCTCCCCTCCCCTCCCCCCCTCCTCCCCCTCCCTCCCTCCGCCTCCGCCTCCTACCTCCTCCCCTCCTACCTCCTCCTCCTCCTCCTCCGCCTCCTCCTTCCCCTCCTCCTCCTCCTCACTCCCTCCTCCTCCTCCTCCTCCTCCTCCTCTCCTCCTCCTCCTCCTCCTCCATCCTCCTCCTCCTCCTCCTCCGCCTCCTCCTCCTCCTTCTCCTCATCCTCCTCCTCCTCTCGCTCCAGGGGCCCCAGGCCGAACGGAAGATCCGAGCAGCGCGATTTGAGACAACCATAAAAATCGGGTCCCCCCCAGGGTCCAAACACACCAAAGAGTTTCCCGGGCTGCGTCCAGCCGTGGCCACAAGGGGGCCCCCGAAGGCCCACTGCCGTTGTCAGAGTTTCCTGAGCTGCGTCCAGTCGTGGCGACGAGGGGGCCCCCGAAGGGACGACGGCCGGACACCGCGACTGCGGTAGGCGAAGGCTGGATGCTCATTCTGGGGACCTTCCTTGGAGACACTCGCTCCACTCGTGCGTGGAAGCTGCGTCGAACGTCCGTGGAGGTGGACCGACCTTGAGTCGAACCTGAGTCGAACCTGAGTCGAACCTGAGTCGAACCCGAGTCGAACCTGACTCGAACTGGGGTCGAACTTGAGTCGAACAAACCCGTCAGGTGGGACCCAGGAAGGCCCCCGAAACGAACATAGCAGCAAGGGAAGCGGCCACGGCCGGAGGCCCGTCCTCTCAGGGCCGCGGCCATGGGCGAACAGCGCCTCCGGCGGCCCGCGGGCCCCCCCCGTGACCCTCGGGAGCCACGAGGCGCGCCGCGGAGCAGCGGCGGCGACGCGGCAGGCGCAGCGCCGACGGCGAGGGCCGCACCCGCTGCGGCCTGGGAGGAGGCGCGCACCTGGGGAGGGGGGGAGGGGGGAGGGGGAGGGGGAGGAAGAGCAGGAGGAGGAGGAGGAGGAGGAGGAGGAGAGAAGGAGGAGGAGAAGGAGGAGGAGGATGAGGAGAGGAGGAGGAGGAGGCGGAGGAGAGGAGGAGGAGAAGAGGTGGGGGACGAGGAGGAAGAGGAGGAGGAGGAGGAGGAGGAGGAAGATGAGGAGGAGGAGGAAGAGGAGGAGGCGGAGGCGGAGGCGGAGGCGGAGGCGGAGGCGGAGGCGGAGGCGGAGGAGGAGGAGGAGGACGAGGAGGAGGAGGAGGACGAGGACAAGGAGAAGGAGGCGGAGGAGGAGAAGGAGGAGGAAGAAAAGGAGGAGCAGCAGGAGAAGGAGGAGGAGGGGGATGGGGAAAGGCTCCTCGCAAGGAGGCCGCTCCCTCGAAAGCGGGGCCTTGCATCTGTAGACGAGGCCCGCGCCCTCTAAGAGGCAGCCTCCTAAGAAGCCATCCCTCCTCCCCCCATACGCCCTCTGCGCGTGGCCGAGCTCTGCCGACGGCAAAGACCGCGCCCATGAGAGGCCTCCTTGATGGGGTCCGAGTAGAGGCGTCGGAGGATCGCGCCGCATCGCCGATGTATCGGCGACGTCGGCGATGCACCGGCGACGCCAGCGCGGAGAAAATCGGGTTCCGCATCGAGCCGCATCGGCGATGCATCGGCGATGCGGCGCGACCCTCCAAACCCATCTACTCGGACCCCGTCCGGGAGGCCTAGACCCATACCCCCTCTGACCACCTACCAGACCACCATGTCGGGTTGAGGGGTACAGGTTCAATGTGTGTTTTTTCGATATTCCCCACCCCCGCCCCACTGGAAATGGAGGGCAAAGTGGAGCCTTCGGGTTGGGTTAGGGTGGTTTGCGCGTGGCGCCGACGGCGAGGACCGCGCCCACTGCGACCTGGGAGGCGAAACCCATGCGTACCAGCCGTACCATGCGTACCAGCCGTCAGCATCGAATCGGAATACCAGATCGGCTCGAGGAGGGGGA